TCGGTTCTGCTTGACGCACAGAGGATTGGGGCTCAGCCATTCCGCCTCATTCACAGAATATTAGATTGGCTCTAATAACGAACTGATCCTAGCGATAATATCTTCGGGTATACATTCTCTGACAGTCGAAGCGTGAATGTTTTCTTCACATACGGCAAACGTTACCTTATCTGTAATATTCACAAGCGAACCATAAAACGGCAACCGTTCTCACTTTTATTTTACCAGTTATATGTCGAACCATAATTGAGAAATACATGAGAGAACTTAGAGAAGTCTAAGACTGAAGCTGTTTTAGAAATAACAATCAAACTTTTTCTAAAGTTCAAAACACCGTTATCATAATTTCTATGACGAGTTAAGAAGAATTATAGAAAGCGAGAGCGTGTTGACAAATAAAATTGCTGTGTACTTATTTTAAGCTCAACCTCGCAGAGAGTCTGAGGTGAATGATTCACCTTGATTGCATTATGTTCCCGAAGAGAAAACCGGGTAAAACATGGTGAAATCAGTTTCTTCACTACCTTAAGACACACTTTCTTTTCAAAAGATTTGTATCAATAGTTTTTGTTTTCCATTCTTTTTCTATATAGAAACCCCTACATAAGAATCATCGAAATTTTTATGCTCTTGCGTGGCAGTATTTGAACTCTCTTCCATTCGTGAGAAAATTAGATGATAAGGTTTAGGAAAGAAAAACAACAACGCAGAAAAAATGAAGTTAATATTTAAAACTTTTTACCTTTAGTACAATAGCACGTACAAGCATAGTATCCGTTAAAACTGATTGTATTGCAGAACAAAGATTTTGCTGGTAAATCAGATACAAAATACTGAGTTGATAAAACAACATTAAATTCTTCATCGTCGACGAATATACTTGTGCCAGCAATCATCAAATATTTTAATTCTCTAACATATTCTCATAAGAAAATGTTCACATTTGGGTTTTTCTTTGACGACCACAACGCTACGGCAATAATATTCTTTTGATACTCACGAACTGGTGGTGAAATTTCGACAATTGATGCAAAACCTGGCCATAACGCTTGTTTGGATGTTCTAATTAATGGTGCTCCGTTTGAATGTAAAATTATTGTAATTGGATTTGATTTCTGAGCACTTGTTGTTTGGTAGTGTTCTCCATAACATACATCACTTTTCGGAAATAGTTCTTGACGGCTTAATACATGCTTATGTCGACGAATGATTGCTTGTATTTGTGAGCGAATGTCCAGATTAACAACTTCAGTTATTTCATTACTTTTTAATGTTCTTTTATATAATAAACATTGGTTATTCATACATCTTTTAATGCCGTATTTTGTTTTAATACATTGTTGCTCACAATTGGAACACAAAAACGTTGTTGTCGATGTACACGATTTCCCAAATACTTTCAAAATGCCTTTCCATGTTGTT